ATCCTGGATTCCCTGTATTTTCAGTTCCTATCTGTACCAGTGTACCTCCTCTGGTCTAGCCAGTCTTGCAAGATAGAATTTGAGTCATGGTAGTGGGAGCGGGGAGGAAACCACCATGACTCAAATTCTAGTATTCTCACAAGTTGGTAGATTACTCAAAATAAATCCAAGATTAAAAACATAAATGTTCCATGTTTAGTATTTTACTTGAAAGCATTTATTCTATCATTAGAGCATGTTATGTTTTTCATATTCGCATCTTTTAAAAGTAAGAGACGTTTAAGTGAAAATCCATGCATTGATCATCATTTCACTTAGTAAATAAAAATATTAAACCTTATTTACAAAAATGTTATATACACTCTTACCTGTCATAACAGTTGATATCATCCAGCCAACAACCTTGCTTCACGATTTCAATGGAGCCAGAAATATTCTTCCAAGTAGCAAAACAATGCCGTCGTTTATCTTTGTCACCATAACAGGGTTCAACACCAGTTCGATTGGTTCTATCTCTTTCCCAATTAGCATTATAGAAAATACACTCCTGAGTGTCTGATCTGCCAAGTATAGCACCTAGAAAATAAGAAAACAACAATTTGATATTAACGGTTATTAGCTCTTAAAAGAGGTTGTCCCAATATACCAACTTCAAGTGTTGCTAACGTAAACACTATTTACTTGTCTTCCCTGAGTTAAAACGTTTGATTTAGGTTTCAAAGTATAATATTTTAAAAGCTGACCACATTTATCACAAGATTTCTCTGTAAAAGGCCAGGTTCACTTAAGCATATCCTTGATGAAAGATCAACCCTTGAGTAAATTTCTTTTCCATCTTCTCTGTGACAAGCTGGAAAGTAAGCTACAGCACTTCTCCTGTGTACTCAAGTATGATGGTTGCCTCAAGAAAAAAACCCTGTGTGACTGAGTTATAAACAAACTATGATTATTAATACTTGGCCATCTGGCAGCCCTGGTCTCAGAAAGTCTCCTAAGTGAGCCTCCATTCAAGAAAAACAACCAAAGGTTTACACTGCCAATGATACAAGTTGAACTTTCAAGTGAAAAACAGTTTCAAGAAACTTGTACATATCACTGTTAGTGACACCTTCTCAAAGAGGTCAAGGGTGATATAAGCAAACATGATTTTTAAATGAGTGTCGATGGCCTGCATAGCCCAAAGAACCAGTATTTCCTAAATGAATAACATGTGATGTAACAAAAGCATTCAGGTTTTTTTATTTTAAAAAGGTCCCTTCAGCGTGCAAAACCAAGCAATACATTAAAGGACAAAAAGTTCATGGATAGTCCCAAATCCCACAATACAACTAACTTTTTAGAAGTGATCTCTTATCTCATGGAAAAATAAGGCACTGGGATTAAAACCATTCTAAAATAAAAGGGCACAGGGGAAACTTTTCTGACTTACGTAAAGCTACAGAGATCAAGACAGTCTGATCACTGACAGAAATGTCAGTGAAACAATACAGAATCCAGAAACAGACCGACACATATATATATGGTCAACAGGTATACAATAAACGTGATTTCAACTCCTCCCCCACTAAAAGAACTTCAATCCATTTCTCATGCATTACACAGAAATTAATTCAAAACCTCAATTCAAAAAACTTACAACTGTTAGCCTTCCATTAGAAAACATAAATAAAAATCATTGTGACCAGTAATAAACTAATTTTCAGAGAAAACAAAAAGCCTATGAGCTATGAGGGAAAGAACTAATTAGATCTGACCAAAAAGTAAAAAGTTATATACATGAGGAATATTGTTGCAAAATGCTTCTCTGTTAAAGAAATGAGTTTCAAAGAACTCTCATAATTCAATAAAAAAATAAACTATGCATTCTTTTTAATGGACAAAATATTCTAACAATAGCTTTGTGGATTCAGAGGTGAATAGCAAATTCCATATGAAAAGATACCCAACATCCTTAGAGATATACAAATAAAAACCACAACAAGCGCCACTACACACTTATTAAGAGATTTAAAAAAAAAATTTAGTTAGTATGTAGAACACTACTGGTTGAAGAAATGCAGAATGATCCAGCCACTTCAAAATTAGTTGGCGCTACTTATATTCATGTATACTCTTGCTATACTACTCAGCAATAAGGAAAAGTGGCAACACAAAAACAAATGTTTACAGTGATTTTATTTTTAATTGTTAAAAACTAAAAAGTGCCCAATGTCTATTGCTAGTAAATGAATAAACATCCTTCCAATAAAAATGAATGACATAGCTAGTGAAAGCTGCAACTCCAGGTATGAACTTAAAACATACTATGCGAAGAAGCCAGATTCTAGTATATCGTATGATTCAATTTGTACGACATTCTGGAAAAGATAAAAGATAGGGAGAAAAATTGGATCAGAGACAATCAGGAGCTAGAGATAAGGGGAGGGGATTGATGACAAGAGTATATGAAGAAACTTTTTTTATACTTTAACTGGATTGGAGGTCATATGACTATATGGGCTAACCACATTTTATGTCTAAATTTCACATCTAAAAATACATTGTACTCTGTGTAAATGATACTTCAATAAATCTGGTAATACACAATTATCTGAAAATGATTAAACATCCCTCCATTTTCTAATTATGTATTTGTGTGTGGCCAGATTTCCTTTGTATAAACCAATCAACACATATCACAACAGATTGAATGGAGAAATAGACATGAGAATCCAATTGTAGTCTATCAAAACAATCACCAAAGAGATTTACTAAATGTTATGTTTTATGAAATAACTGATTTTTATTAAAATCTGTTCTTTTGTTAATATGTAATAAATTTGGTATGATTATTTTCAGATGAATTATAAGTATGTTAAATTTTGCTGTTTTAACTCCTAAGAGGGTAAACACTAAAGATAAGATCCATATAAATAGAAGCTCTTTGGGTTTTGAACTTTTAAGAATCTAAAGGGGTCTTGGTACAAACAAAGGGAACTACTATTCTAGAATATATAATGGGATGCAATTTTAAGCTGCTAGTATCCATCTCAGGGACTTCCTTTCCACTAGGGAAGAAATAATAGCATGAGCTGACATTGTAAACCGTGCTTGGTAAATCTATGCCAACTATATTTTATAAACAAAGGGCTAATACTATTACTACTTATGTGTGCAAACCAAAAGTAGCCATTTTCTAAATTATTTCTTTTTAAAAATTTAATGAAAATACTAACAATAATCTTTCTCCTTTATCAGATAATCTAACAGCAATTAATTGCTGTCCAAATGTTTATCGTAATACACAATTAGCAAACTTTCTTCTGTGATGACCAGACAAGTAACTTTGGCTTTGCAGGCCAGTCTCAGTTGCAAATATTAAATTTAGCATTGTAGAACAACAAATCAGCCTTAGACAATAAATGAGTAAGCACAGTTATGGTCCAATAAAACTTTATTTACAGACACTAAAAACTGAATTTCATCTATTTTGAACATATAAAAATCTTAATTTGAAAAAGATTCATACATAGTTCATGGGCTATGCATAACCAGGCTGCTGGGGTTGGACTTGGACAATACACTGTGATTTGCAAACCCTTGTCTTAAAACAATGTCCTCATTCCAAAGTGTAGTTAACCTGCTCTGTGTGTGTGTGTGTGTGTGTGTGTGTGTGTGTGTGTTTCACAGTGGTAAGAATTGCAGGTGGGGGTAGGGATGGGACAGGGAGGGAAATATTTAGTTAATGTTAAAAATCCCTATATAGCCAGCTGTCCATTGAATGGGAACACTACTTAAACAAAATTGACAAAAAATAGAACACTACCTGGAGCAGAAATGCCAAAAAGGTTTTACCTGTGAGTTCCATTCCAATCAATTAATAATAGCTACTGGGAGTATGCTATTGAATTAGTGTCTTAAAATTGAAAAGGAATGGAGGGGAAACAAAACAAGTGTTTTGTATTTGGTGACCCTAGCCTAGAAAAGGAGGGCTGTACTTGTCAACCTTCTGATAGCATAGTGGATTATGCTTTGGGTTGCTGACCACAATGTCGGTGGTTCAACCCACCAATTGCTCCACAGGATAAAAATGAAGCTTTCTACTCCTGTAAAGATTTAGTTTCTGAAACCCACAGGGGGCAGTTCCACTTTGTCCTATATGGTGCTATGAGTTGAACTAGATTCAATGGAAGTGAGTTTAGTTTCTTTTGAGTCTAGAAAAAGATGAACCTGGTGGCTTGATGGTTAAGCACTTAGCTGCTCACCAAGAGGTTGATGATTTGAAGAAAAGACCCAACAATCTGCTTTTTGTATAGATTATAGTACAGGCTAGGAAATCCTGTGAGGCCTTTCTACTCTGTCCTATCCAATGACCACCTATCCAATGCCATCAAATCAATTCTGATTCATGATAACTCTACACAACAGAGTAAAACTGCCTGCTTGGATTCCCCAGACGGTAAATCCCTACGAGCCAAGTATCACTCTTCAGTGGAGTGTCTGAATTGTTGCCCTTTCTTTGGTTAGTAGCCCCATGTATAACGCACTATGCTACCCTGGCTCTTTAGAGCTGAAAACAACTCATGACACACAGCAATAGAGTCAAGAAAAAGTATATTACAGGCCGTCTCTGGGTCTTTTGCACATGTTATCAGTAAAGCTCAGTCCCTGGAATAGGGCATCGTACTTGGTAGAGAGACAAGTAAAAGGAGGAAGACCCTCAACAGGACAGACTGACACCACGACTGCAACAATGGGCATGCAAACATGCAGAGAGCCATGAGGACGGCCAGAGCCAGGCAGGGCTTCATTCTGTTGTGTACAGGGTCACTGTGATGTGGAACAAAGACACAAACAATTAGTTTAAGGAGTTTTAGTGTACCTAAAAGTGTTTTTGTCTTTTTTTTTAATATAAATTTTATATTGTATACATCTGACTCGCATGAGATATGCACCATCCCTGGCTATTTCAATTTACATACTAATTTGACTCAAAGATAGAACTAAGAATGTAATCCAAGGACTGCCTGTAAAAGCCTCCTTATTTAAAAAAATACTTCTATGATGTCTTTTTTAATGGTAAATTGAGACTTCTGGATTTTCTCTATCTAGACTATCACTTGATACTAGAGGAAAACTGTGGCAGTTTCCCTATTCTTCCTAAAGCTGGTTCTTTAGTTGGTCTCTATTCCCTGGATGTCTAACGAAACACTATCTATAACATGATCTCTAACACGAGTTATAACTAGATATAGCAGATCAAATTACAGACATTTTTATGTCAAGCTCACATTGTGACTGTAAAAATATACTTCTTAAAAAAAGAACAAAAATCATTTTTATGCATTTATTTTCAAAAGCATCTCCCAATTTAAAAATTCCTGAAACTAAATCTCTATCCATAGGGTTAATTCCACCAAAGTAACTCTTTAAGGGATTAACCAGCTATTTTTATTAAATAAATAAGCATAAACATTTTCTCTACAGGGTTTAATACAGTTTTCAACCCATGATGTATATCAAAATTTGCTTTCTCAAACCCCTATGTTTGAGTTCCATTTGATAAATCTTGCAGAATCTACATATATAAAACATAG